ACTGTCAATTTTCCTTCGCGTCTTTCGGTCGGTCCATTGTGGATCGCTTTGTTTTTATCGCGTTTTTTCGGGATTTGGGGTACGTAATGGCCTCAGAAATCGAACTGCGATAGTCATTGAGGTCTTTTTCTTCGTTTCCACTATATAGTTTTAAGAACAACCTAGAATCGACGTAAGACCAAAACCGAAGCATTTCTCGCCGTTCTCCTGTCACCGGACTGCCCTGGGAATCGTCGTCAAATCTGGCGGCAAAACGCGAAAATGCGCCTGCGCAGAAGGTGCTTCAGGCCGATTTCCTTAAATCACTGTCTAATAAATCTTGAAACGTGAAAATGAGGTATAAAAACGTTAACAAAGGCTTTTGAAAGCATATATGTGGAACAGCAGACACTGATAATTAGCCAAATATCGTTTTGACAACGGCGTAGTAATACATGAACTACTTAACAGAGCGCAAGAATGAGTTGACTGGTCACAATTTTGTTTACATTCACGATGTCAACATGGCGAGGGACTTGGAAAAAGATGGGTCGGTCTTCTCTCTTCTCTGTCGTGCAACTCCTTTATTTTCGACTTGCACACCTTGTGCCATAGATGAAAAGTGTCTCAGTTTACGCCAAGGTAACCATTCCATTTTTTTTTTTTCTTACTGTAACCCTGATTGTTATCCGCTGTAAATTTACCCTTGGGGTGAAATCGATCTCTCACTGAAATCGTTACAATATCGAGGATAACAAGAAACTCAGTAAAATACAATAACCGTGTTCCAGTCGTAGAATTTCGTCTGCGGTTCGTCACTTCCCAACCACCGTCCCCTCAACTTTAAGGTAAACTCATTTTGTATTTCTAAGTGTAGTCAGTGGCGATCTAGAGGCACCGGTAGGGAAGCTAGATAATTGGGAGGGGGTCCGGGGGTTTAGCCCCCGGGTTAGGAGGGTTTTTTGGTTCATACGGCGATCCTACTGGTCGTTCGTGCGTTTAAGAAGCGGTTCACTCGCTCGTTCGCTCGCGCAACATCGTGTCGAATCATCTGTGGCCGAATCTTCTTTCGTGTTTTTACCTTTTCCGCTTTCTTTGTCATCTGAAATACTATCCTTGGCTCGGATTTTCAATTTCCCACGTTCTTTTGCTTTTTAGATGCATGGTATGAAGGAAATCACCCCCCAACCCCCGATTCCCCACAGGACGGGGTGCGGTCCTGTCATAAACATTTACCCATGTGAGTCGCAGCTTTTGCTCTGTCAGGTTCCTCACCCCCCCCTTCCCCCTCCCTCGTTGTCAATTGTAGTAGTAGTAGCTGTAGTGTTCCTGATGTCCTGGCTATTGTGGTTATCATGAAGTAGGTGAAGTATTATTAGTGGAAATAGTAGTAGTAGTAGTAGTAGTAGTAGTAGTAGTAGTAATAGTAGTCGTGGTAGTGATAGTAGTAGCAGTATTAGTGGAAATAGTAGCAGGAGCAGTAGTAGCAATAGTAATTGTAGTTGCAGTAGTAGTAAAAGTAGTAGTAGTTTTGAAAGTAGTAATAATAATAGTAGTGGTAGTACTAATAATAGTAATGATAACATTAGTAGTAGAAATAGTATCAGTAATAGTAGTAGAAAAGTAGTATTAATAGTAGTAGTAGTAAATGTAGTAATAATCGTAGTGGTGGTAGCAGTACTAGTAGTAATAGTAGTTGTAGTAGTACCCTCCACAAAAGCGTCGTCTTCACTACAACTATCATTGCAATAGCAGTGCATTCGTCTATGTTATTTTCACTGTTTGACTCACCATCCTCATCACCGTCACCGCGGCTGTCATCACATTTCTCTCCGAATCGTAACCGCTCTAATTCCTTCAATTTCCGAAAATAATACGGCGGCCATTTTCACACTAACTATATATATATAATTCTTTTTTACGGCCACTCATTTCCGGTTCACTTAATCAAATTTCCCAAAAATAGTTAATGCGGCTAAATCTTTCATCAGATTGAATAATTTGTATGGCAGGTGACAGGTTTCGGACGAAGCCAAAATAATTACTTTGCTCGCGTTGAAGTTTCTTTTAATTCTCTCTCGCTTTCGCTCGCTTTCTCTCTCTTCTCTCGGTCTCTCTTTTTCTCTTTTCTTCGGTCTCTCAGTCTTTCTCTCTCTCTCTCTCTCTCTCTCTCTCTCTCTCTCTCTCTCTCTCTCTCTCTCTCTCTCTCTCTCTCTCTCTCTCTCTCTCTCTCTCTCTCTTTCTCTTTCTTTCTCTTTTCTCTCTCATTCATTTTTCAGCTATTCGTTTTATCAAAACATTTAGATTTTTACTTTATTTTAATATTACTACTACAGTTACAACTAACAATGCTGCTACTGATGAGGCTGCAACACTCATTGCTCTATCATCACTAGCCATTTTATAATAGTAGGACTAGTAATATCCCAGGGTATTAGTGTTCCTGTGTCACCCCTGATCTCATTACCGTCACGTGCTCTGAAGTAGATAAGGGTCATTTTCCCTTCTTCTCGGCCGCTCACCTCATAAAAAACCTTCTAATTTCGGATGGACAAACGAGCGTCTTTACGTCCTCTCGTATCTTCCTGATGGCTTTGGAGAGCTTAGCTTTTTTCTCTTTAAAGCCAAACGGTCGTATAAAAATATTTGCAACATTTTGCTGTTAAAATTACTATAATATTACGTCAAACGCTTTTTCTTTTCCTCGAAGAAATATATATTTAAACGAATTTTGCTTCACTTCTCTTTCCTCTCCTTCTTCCTTTTCTCCTCCTTTTCTTCTTCTCCTCCTCCTCCCTTTGCTTCCACCCTTCTTTCTCCCTCGTTCTCCTTCTTCTCCCTCTCCTTGGCGGAACTAAAAGGCATTTACTATAATCCACAGCTTCAAAAAATGAAAATAAAAAAAGGTTCATTTTATAGCCAATAAAATTTGTCTCCCAGAACTTAATAGGAAAGGTCTAAGCCCGGAAGGCATTTTAAGCGCCGGACTCAGCGCCTCCAGGAACAGCCATCCCGTCTTGCCCTCTTGGCTTGCCTTTGGCTTGCTTGCTTTGGTTCGCTTTGGCTTGCCTTGGCTTGTCTTAGCTTGCATTGGTTTGTCTTGGCTTGCTTTGACTTGTCTTCACTTCATTCTTCACTTTTCTTGGCTTGCCTTGACTTGCCTTGGCTCGCCTTGGCTTGCTGTACCTAGCTTTGCCTTGCCTTACTGAGCCATGATTTGGATTCTCTTCCTGTCCTTCGACCTGACCTTCCTTGACCTGCCCTTCCCCACTTCGCCCGGCCTCGCCCTCTTGGCCTTCACCTCGTTTGCCTTGCCCTCCCTTGCCCTACCCCGCTTGCCCTGAACCTCTTGCCCTATCTTGTTTACTGAACCGAGTGTCAGCGAGTGGAAATCTCGCGGAAGAAAAAATGAATAAAGAAAGGAACTGACTTGGGCGAGAGCTGTGAGACGGAAGAAAAATCATTTACCATAATTGTTATTTACGGAGTCACTCATAGGATAAAGATGGCAGAGAATGAAGTAAATACTACTCAGAAGATAAAATCAAGAAAGGGATTGAAATATGTTGTACTATAAAATGACGAGATAAGATTCGATATGAATATTAATTATAATGATGAACACGAAGGCTAATTCTTAACATTCGATGATAGGTAAATTTCAGGTAAAAGTAACGAAGCAAAAACAAAAAGAAAAAGTTAAACAATATAAAAGAATGATAATCACTCTTATTATGATGATTATAATTATTGATAACGTCATCTCCGTTTTCGTTTGTTTTGCTTTGTTGTTTTCATTATGATAAATTGTCATCATTGCTATCACTAATCTAACACTATCATGAAGATTATCAGCCTCGATTCCAAAAATATCATTATTTTCATCGTTTGGCGATACTCATTATCTATAACATTATCCTCAATCATCGTTATTTCGATCAACCTAATCACACCCCATTCATGAACAGCATCACCAAACTCAGCATCAAATGAAACAGGCGACACACACACACACACACACACACACACACACACACACACACACACACACACACACACACACACACACACACACACACACACACACACACACACACACACACACGGAAGCCTAAACCCACAATGAGCCCCATTACTTTAACTTTTTCCCCTTTACACCGGGCGCCGGGACCGCCTCGCGTCCGTATTCAAACGCAACACCAAGCGCAGGTCACGCGTTCATTTAGGACAACGACTGACAGAGTCCAGGCGCAGATTGGGCGCGGCCGCCACGCGGGGCGCGCGGAGAGGGCGGCTCGCGGTGGCGCCGTTCGCACGCACTTTGAGGGCGTGTGCGTGTGTCTGTATACAGGGCATGCGTATGCGTTGAGAGACATGCGCGTATTCAAAGGTGTATGAAAGTATACTTATGCGCGTGTGTGTTTAGGCATACGTACACACACACACCGACACACTCAAACAAACAAATAAACACGAGGAAACACGCATGCATAGCTCACTCACGCTGGTTTATCGCTGTTTCCATAAAATATAATTTGATATTTCCAATAATATCGTGCCTCTTTTTCTCTCTCTTTCTCTCGATATTCACATCATTTGCCGGCGCGGACGACCCATAAAGCCCGCTCGTAATAATTCAGCGTCAGGCTCCGGCGGAACTTTTTCGCTCGCGAGAAAAGGCGTCGGAAACGACTTCCCTTTTCTTTCCCTTTTTTGCTTTTTTTCCTTTCTTGTCATGAGAGGCACTTTATGTCTCCCATCCTTTTACACACACACACACACACACATACACACACACATACACACACACACACACACACACACACACACACACACACACACACACACACACACACACACACACACACACACACACACACACACACACACATATACATACATATATATATTATATATATTATATATAATTTATATATATATATATATATATAATATATATATAATATATGATATATATATATAGTCACAAGTATATACATATCCATATACAACGTCTTGTGTGTATTGTGAGTGTCTGTGTGCGTGTGAGTGTGCGCGTGTGTATGTGCGCGTGTGTATGTGTGTGTGTTGGTTGGTGTGTGTGTGTGTGTGTTGTGTGTGTGTGTGTGTGTGTGTGGTGTGTGTGTGTGTGTGTGTGTGTGTGTGTGTGTGTGTGTGTGTGTGTCGTGTATGTGCATGTGTATGTGTGTGTGTGTTGTTGTGTGTGTTGTGGGTGTGTGTGGTGTGTGAATGGTGTATTGTGTGTAGTGTGTACGCGTGTGTGTGTGGGTTGTGTGGTTGTGTGTGTGTGTGTGTGTGTGTGTTGCATGTGCGTGTGTGGTATGACGTGTGTGTGTGTGTTGTGTGTTGTGTGTGTTGTGTGTGTGTGTGTGTGTGTGCATGTGTGTGTGTGTGTGTGCTGTGTGTGCCATGCGTGTTGTGTGATGTGTGTGTGTGTGTGTGTGTGTGTGTGTGTGTGTGTGTGTGTGTGTGGTGTCCGTACGCGTGTGTGTTTGTGGCTTATGCGTTGTGTGTGAATAGCATCTCCAGCTGAACCCTTACTGCTCGCAGCTTCCTGAAAGGGGCAAAGAGAAGGGAGGCCCAAAGGAGGCGAGAAAAGTCAAACACTAATGACAAAGTGTTGATTAAGTGTTACATCGTGATGCGTTCGTATTATCCTTCAACATCACAAATAAAAGCAAATTCTAGACGCCATAGATGTCGCATCGTCCTCTGAGTCGTCCCTTGACTGCAATCTTTGTTTCTCTGGTGATATTACTTTCATTATTTCCAAAGCAATACATCTTGTATTTCCTCAACGTCATAACACCGCATATGCTGGTGCGCATATCTCTCCCAGTCCGTTAAGTACATGCGATGCAACTCCTTGCTTGCAAACCCTGCATTCTCTTGAACATCAGATTACGTTCCCGAGTCCAGCCCCGTTCCATTTCCTCGACTGGAGACGTTATACCATGCAGATCATACCTCGTACGAGAGATCATACGGCACCGCACCGGCCAGAGATTGCCCCATAGCTTCCGCCACTTCCGTTATATCAGAGACTCTAAGCGAGCGAACAGGAGGATAATAACTTCTTTTGTTTACATGTCCGTTGCCATGACAACCCTTTGGGATCCTATCAACATCCCGCCCGAGCGACAGTTGTAGGAGACGCTGGGGTGGGGGTGATGGGGAGGGGATGGTGGTGGTGTTGGGGATGAGGAGGGGGAGGATGGTGGTGATGATGGTGGTGTTGGTGGTGATGATGAGGGAGAGGATGGTGGTGGTGTTGGGGATGAGGAGGGGGGAGGATGGTGATGATGATGGCGGTGTTGGTGATGAGGAGGTAGAGGATGGTGGTGATGAAGATGGTGGAGTTGGTGATAGTGTTGACGAGGAGGGAGAGGATGGTGGTGATTAGGGTGGTGGTGAGGATGGTGTGTTGGTGGTGTGTTTGATGATGATGGTGGTGTTGGTGATGAGGATGAAGGGGAGGATGGTGATGCTGGTGATGACGACAATGATAAAGATAATTATAATGATAACGATGATGATGTCAGTGGTGGTCGGGATTCCGGTGTCCCTGATCACGTAACTGACGATGCTGTTCACTCGAATCCTGCAAGTGCAACCATGACGATGCATAACTATTACTGCTTCTTCCAGTAATGATGACAATAATAATAATCCGTCTATCTATCTAACTGCGCATCTATCTACCTCACTATCTATATATATCTATTATATATATATATATATATATATATATATGGCGACTTATCTACCTATATAACCATTTATCTATCTATATTTCCATCTACCTACCTATCCAGCTATCTGCATCTCTATCTTTTATCTACTTATCTATTTCTATATCTCCCTATCTTTATCTATCCACTTCCACCATCTATCTATTTATCTACATCTCTTATCAACCTACCCATCCACCTATCTTCATTTGTATCTATTCATATTTCTATCTATCTATCCATACTTCTACATTTCTATCTACATGTCTATCTAGCTATCTCTCCTTCTCTATCTATGTACATTTCTGCTTAGAATAGATAAAATAAAATAAAGATGCAACTTTATCTATCTATCTATTCATTTACCTATGCATATCTCTTTCTACTTATCTATAAACCTATCTACCTATCTATCTACCTATCCATCTATCTTTCCATACGTCTAAAGAATAACCATTGTATTTATGGAAAAAAGTGTATTGATTTTGATTATCCATATATCTTTTCATCTCCCTCTCAATCTATCTATCCATATTCCTATCCACTTATCTGTCTATCTAGCCATCTATCTATTCATTTATCTATCCATCTATCAAAGAAATAACTACTGTAATTAATGGAATAAAGTGTTTTGACTTTGACTATCCATCTACTATACTATGTATTTCAACGTCTCTATCTACTTATCCACATCTCTGTCTATCTACCGAATCTCCTATCTATCCACATATCTATTTATCTACATCATCTATTTATCTATCTATCCATCTATCCAATCTTCCCCCCCCCCCTCCCGCGCCCTGAATGGGTCTCTCGGGCGGATAGATGTCTCGCGAAGCTTAGTGGGCGGAGTTATCATGACGGATGGGGAGAGAGGGGATGAGGGAGGGAGGGAGGGGAGGGGGAGGAGGGGAGAGGAGGGGAGGGGGTGGAGGGAGAGAGAGGAGGGGGAGAGAGGAGAGAGAGAGAGGGGAAAGGTTGAGGGGAAAGGGAGCAAGGAGAGAAGAGAGACGAAGGTATGAGGGAGAAGACAGGGGAAGATGTGAGGAAGAGGGCAGGGGAAGGTATGAAAAGAGAGAGAGTGGGAGAGGAAGGGGAAAGAAGGAGGGAGGAGAGGAGGGAGGGAGGGAATGAGGAGGAGGGAAGGGAGGAAGGAAGGAGGAAGGGGGGAAGGAAGGGAAGGAGGAAGGGAGGGAGTAAGGTATGGGGGCTGAATGAGTGGCGGAGGGCATGGTGGAGGGGAGGGAAGGGGCAGGACGAAGGAAGAGGGAGGAGCAAGGGAGGGAAAGAAAAGAAAGGGAGTGAAGGAGGGAGTGAGTGTCGATGGGGGATCGGTAGAGTGTGGAATATGGGAAGTATGTTCGTGTGTACTATTATCACTATTACTATGATCATTATCATCTAATTCACGAATACAATTACTATTATTTATCATTATCACTAATATCATTATCATCACATCATCATCACCCTGCGTCTCTTTGTCTCCCTCTTTTTCTCCTCTCTTCCCATTATTCCACTCTCCCCCTCCCCCTCCCCCTCCCCCTCCCCTTCCCCTTATTCCCCTCTCCCTCACCCCCCCCTCCCTCCCCCTCCCCTCACCACGCTCTCGAGGCCCGGCTGGATCACATAGGCGTCGTCCTGCACCCACGCCACCACCTTCACGTACTCCCTCACGTAGGGCGGGATGCGGCAGCTGCGGCGGAGGAGAAAGGGCGTTAGCGTCTGTCTGCGGGGCGGGCGTGCGCGGCGCGCGTGTGTGTGTGTGTGTGTGTGTGTGGTGTGTGTGTTGTGTGTGTTTGTGTGTGTGTTTGTGTGTGTGTGTGTGTGTGTGTGTGTGTGTTGTGTGTGTGTGTGTGTGTGTGTGTGTGGTGTGGTGTGTGTGTGTGTGTGTGTGTGTTGTGGGTGGGTGTGTGTGGTGTGTGTGGTGTTTGTGTGTGTGTGTGTGGTGTGTGGTGTGTGTGTGTGTGTTGTATGTGTGTGTGGTGTGTGTGTGTGTGTGTGTGTGTGTGGTGTGCGTGTGCGTGGTGTGTGCGTGTGCGTGTGTGTGTGGGTGGATGGGTAGATGTTTGCGTCATTGCGTTCATGTAGGTACCTCGTCCTGTAAGTCAGTAAAGTGAACTGCAGCAAAATAGTTAATATCTATTTTTTCTAGGTAAAAGTGTTTTACTAGAACTAGATCGCTAAAATCTACAAAAGCAATGCAACTAATAAGCACCATATGGATAGAATACATTTGACTGATTGATCGATAGACAGAGATATAGATTACAGATAGACAGATAGATACACACACCACACATACTTTATTCTCTCTCTCTCTCTCTCTCTCTCCTCTCTCTCTCACTCTCTCTCTCTCTCTCTCTTCTCCTCTCGTCTCTCTCTCTCTCTCTCTCTCTCCTTCTCCTTTCCTTCTCCTTCTCCTCTCCCTCTCCCTCTCCACTCTCCTCTCCCTCTCCTCCCCTCTTCCTCTCTCCTCTCCTCTCCTCTCCCCGCCTCCCTCCCTCTCCTTCCCCCCCTCCCTCCCTCCTCTCCATCTCCCCTCCGTTCGCCCTCTCACTCTCCTTCCCCCTCCTTTCCCTCCCTCTCTCACGCCCTTTCTCTTATCGGATGCTGTGATGATATCTGCTCTCGAGTCCTCTCCTCCGCTCGCCTCTCGCCAGGACGCCCGGCCCGACCGTCTAATTAGCGCCTCCCTTGGCCGGACGCTGGTGGGGCGGACTCGGGCCTCAGCGCGCGAGCCCCGTCGGCGCCACCCGGCCGTTGGCGTCGCTGTTACTGTCGGTGGGATTTCTGTTATCGTTGTTCTTGTAATCCTTATCATAATATCTCGCTTTCTCTCTCTATTTCTATCTCTCTATCTCTCTCTATTTCTCTCTCTCTCTCTCTCTCTCTCTCTCTCTCTCTTTCTTTCTTTTCTTCTTCTCATCTTCCTCTTCTCCTCCCTCCTCTCTCCCCTCCCCCTCTCCTCTCCTCTCTCTCTCTTCTCTCTCTCTCTCTCTCTCTCTTCTCTCTCTCTCTCTCCTCTCTCTCTCTCTCTCTCTCTTCTCTCTCTCCTCTTTCCTTCCTCTCTCTTTCTCTCTTCTCTCTCTTTCTCTCTCTCTCCTCTCTCTCTCTCTCTCTCCTCTCTCTTCTCTCTCTCTCTCTCTCTTCTCTCTCTCTCTCTCCTCTCGCTCCTCTCGCTCTTCGGTGTCTCTCTCCTCTATCAGCTCTGTCTCTCTCTCTCTCTCTCTTTTCTCATCTCCTCCCTCTTCTTTCCTCTCTCTCTC